AAGTACAATATTTACCTGTAATGGAGTAGAATAATAAAGTAACATAAAATACAATTACTCTAGCAGTGGTGTAAAGTAAATAAGTAGAATTACTCAATACTGTACTGTACAATTTTGAGGTACTTTGCTAGTATTTCAATGTTATGCTACTTTGTACTTCTATAATACTGCAATTAACAGGGAAATTGTGTACTTTTACTCCACAACCTACTACATTTGAGTTATTTTACAGATCTTGATGAATGATGTGAAATATAATCAACTCTTGAATCAAACTTCAGTTCCACCTGGAGGTAAATTCACAAGCTACCCTGCAGTGTACAATGTCATTAAAATTAGCTGCACCTTTACCAGCTACTGTATATGTTATTCTCCCTTTTTGGAGCATGGACATATTATTTAAGTTGGTATACTTGCCTTTGTTATCTCCAATATTAAAATGTTCAACTCGGTGTGTATTCACCTGTAAATTCAAATGTACTTGTTCTGCATTGTTTGAATAATATTGGTAGATATCCTTTTAAATGAGTTGAAGTATTCAAAAAATATTAGCTATCTTCCCAATACAAAATGTCCAGAGTCCACCCACAATTAATCAAAATCTGCAGGGTGTTTCTTTAAACCAATCACTTCTCAGAGGGGCGTGGCCAGCAGCAGCTCATTAGCATTTAAAGCTACAGACACAGAATCAGCACTTTCGGAACAGGGCTGAAACAGAGGGGTTTATGGGATGCTGCAATGATCTGTTTGGTGTTTAGAGCCAAACACTTCAGAGACATGTTTTATATTTATCTGAGACCTATAATATATTGTTGAATATAATATAATAGGGGACCTTTAAGACATTTGATGGTGTTTTTCCTGTGTCACACATGTTATTAATCAGGGACAAAGGGAACACTGAGTGGAACCAAATATTACATCAGTGTACTGAAGCATATTCGACAGCTGAGGCTCCAATAAGGTTAAACGGACACATCCAACACATACTAAAAAAAACTGGAATGTTGACTTTAATTAAATGTATTTATTTTGTCAACAAATTACACATAACTGTTTTAGGCTTGTTGGAAGCAATTTGACAAGCCTTATACAGTTATGTGAAATTTGTTGAAAAAATACATTTTAGTAAAGTCCACGTTACTCTTAGCATAATAGGAGACCTTCAAGATAAACACGTTACACACACACATCATACGAGTGCACGATCTACACACAAACCATTGAAAACCTGTAATTATTGGACTAAATTATAAAGAAAGAGTGCAGGACATTCCAGATGAGCTAAGATATCAGGAGGGACTCAAGCTGTGAGTGTACTTTTTTTTTTGTCCGTTCTGGCCACACTTTGGGAATGTCATATACATGCTTTCCAGCTGCAATAACAGGGGTTGCAAATCATGGCTGCTACAAGGTTTGTTCTGACACATAGAGCGACCATCTGTCAAGTCACTCTCCTGGATACACACGCAGTTATCGTCACATATTTTAATTCAAAAAAGAAAAGTATGTGAGAGGAGGGGATGAAGTTCTTAGTAGGTTTTAAAAACAGAGACAGGAAAATGCATCCACATTCTTTGTTTCTAGAGATCTATGGAACATATGGTCTAAGCACATCTGATGTCAGCACAGAGTCCATTTTGGGTTCAATTCATGTTTTATTTAATAAAGCCGTTGTAGCAGGCTGATTTTGACTTGAAACACAGGAAGGTTCATTAGATACAGATACAGATCCATTATAATATGACCAATTCTGCTCCAATGCTCGGGAGACTTGGTGAAAAATACTTATAATTGTAGTTAATACAAGAGGACACAGACCTGGTCGGGTCAAACCACTTGCAGTTCAACGGTCCGAGTCATGCTTTGTCTAATCTATGATCAGGGTAGTTAAACTTGTCAGGTGTTTTGTCTACTGGCATGTAAGGACAAGTGATGATCTGGTAAACATTCCAAGAGAGAAAACATACAAAATGCCATTGTTGAGTAACAATGCAGGAAGTAGCAATCGGGTTACTGATGAGCGTGGTGTATGCTTGTGTAACACATGTGAATTTCATGCTGGTGTCTAAAGTTCATGACTAGATTTAGGTTCCATCTTTATCCCAACCAATATATTCCCTAATGAAACAAATATGTCAAAGGGAGAATTGCTAAAACATAAGCATTGCAGGATTGTTCGTTCTCAACTCTCAATGTTCCTGTTCGGCGTCTTGGTGTTTTCCCTTTCCTGTAGTGTGTTATATAGGTTTTTGTGCATGTCAATGGTCTACAAAGGCTAAAAAGTGCTTCTATTGGCTAGCGCTCAAACACACTGTAAGTGATAGACTAAGGGGCGGGACATCTCTAAGCAGTTGACCGATCACAACAGAGCCGGCCAGCTAACCACTCACAGCTGCCTGGGCTCTGGTTTCAGACAGAGGGTGAAAAGAGGTGCTGCAGCTACGGTGGCCCTGAAGTGCAAGACACCACAGCATTTCACAAAACACTACACCATTTCAGAAAACACTACAGCATTTCACAAAACACTACAGCTGTTGTTGTTGTTGTGTTTTGTGAAATGCTGTAGCCTAAAGCATTTCACAAGACACAACAGCATTTCGCATTGGACGGAAGTCCCTGTCCAAAAGCTGCCTCAAAAGGTTTAACAAACACAAGGAAAAGAGAGTTTTTCTGTCCCCCTCACCGTCAGCATCCATGAGGGTAAATCCTCTTTATGAACCTAACAGAAACATTTCACGCACAATGACTGATGGGAAGAGGAAGCAGGCAGCTGAAATGTATTCACTGTTCAAACATTCACACTGTCAACAGAATGTTTGAAACACTTCCTGAAACACAGCTGGTTCAATTATGATTATGTTGAGGATGAGGTCACGTAACTCAGGCTTAGTAAGATAAGCAAACTAACCTATATGTCTCTACGAGGTTCAATTCATGTCATATTAAAGGGGCCCCATTCTGCTAAGAACTTTAACCAACAGTAGCATTGGATGTTTGAAAAAAAATGACGCAGAATTGTATTAAAGGGGCCCTGTTATGCTCATGTTCAGCTTAATTTCAGTATGTAGTGTCTCTACTGTGACATGTCTCCATGCTTTAATGTTCAAAAAGCTCTTTATTTTCCTCATACTGCCTGTGCAGCAGCACCTCTTTTCACCCTCTGTCTGAAACCAGAGGGAATACAGGGATTTTAGTCTTTGCAGACCATTTACATGCACTAAAACGTATAAAACAAACTACAAGAAACACCCAACAAACCATAATAGGGTCCCTTTAAAAACCGCTGTCCAGTTTTTTTCCGTGACATGCACTTAAATATAATAAAGTAATGTAGTTTATAAAATCCTTTGTTACATATGTGGATGAAAGATGACATTTATTTGATGTTTATAAATCAGCTTCCTGAACAACAAAGTCAAGTGCTGCAGTGATCATTTGTGACGACAACATTCTTTTATAAAACTTTAATAACTTGCATCATTGCACTGATAGCTGCTCTTAAAGGCTTTGAGAATGAAAGCTACTGCTACAATGGTAACAGGAAGTTTAGACACATGACCCCAAGACAGGTCCTGGCTAATTACCAATGAAACTGATAATGAGGAAAGACAGCAAGTGGCTATGTAACGACGAGACGCCGTTACAGCTATTTATTAAATGGCATTAATTATATAAGTGTTCACCCCTCATCTTGTCTGTTGTTTCCGGTCGTCTGTTCCCTCCTGCTGATTACCCAATTGTGTTCACCTGGTGCCCTGTGTTTGCTCCTCCCCCCTCACCTGTGTCTTGTTAGTGTCTGTGTATTTAAGTGCTGTTTGTTGTAGAGTGGAAGGGTGTGTTAGATCCTGGTGGCTGCAGGCTGGGCTCGCGTGAACAGCAGCAGCAGCAGCAGCAGGATTGAGGCTGTGTGCACTTTGTTTTAATAAATGCCCACGTCGGGTTATAATTTTGGACGTTCTGCCTCTGCTTCCTTGCTTGGTCGGGCCGCTCAACGGCCAGTCTCACAATTGGTGTCAGAAGTGGGATTCGACCAAGTGAGGAGGTAAAATTGACGAGAGGAGAAGACGAGAGACAAGCAGCAGGAGACTGGAGACGAGCGGGAGGAGCGGCGTTTGCAGGCCGAGGAGGCGCGCCCGGGCCCCCGAGGAGACTGTGGAGCCTGGGTCGTGGGTCGTGCTGGAGGCGGACCAGTGCCTTGCAACAGGCCAGGACAGCTTCACAGGTGGTGTCGGAGGTAGAGGCCTGGGCAACACTTTGAGGAGGAGCAGGGAGGCCAGCGCAGCGGGTGGAGCCAGATGGCGGTGCACCTGCTGTCCAGCAGGGGGTGACGGCAGACGGGGCTCCTGAGCGACGGGAGGAGTTGACAAACATGGTGAAGTCTCTTGTCTGTTTCGGTGCATCCGGAGATCAGCGATTGGAGGAGGAGCACTTTGTGACAATGTTTGGGGGTGTGTCCATGGCCTCAGGGGAGGGATCTATTCTGTCCATAGCCTCAGGGGAGGGATCTATTCTGTCCGTTTTAGAAAGCCAAGACTGTCTATCCTGGGCACTAAGCGCTTTAGGAGAAAAGGGGGGGAATGTAACGACGAGACGCCGTTACGGCTATTTATTAAATGGCATTAATTATATAAGTGTTCACCCCT